AGGAGTGCGGGCCTCGGCGAGCGCGAGTGGGCTTCACGCCCCATGCAGTGTGAGCCAGGGATCCTCAACCTGCAATCGATGCAGAATTTGTTCTGATGTAACGCGCCACAGGCGAGCAGGGGATTTTGCAATGAGCCGCAGTTGTCTATGCACAGCTTGCTGTATGAGGAGGCGGCCTCCGGCAGGAAGGCCAACATGACACAGTGAGTATCGGAGCGTACTGAAGACGCAAATGCGCCAGATGCGAGTGCCCAGTGACAGAGAGAGGGCTCCACTTCGCAGCACATGTTGTAAACGCCAGTACGCACCCCACATAGCAGAAAGTCTGTGTTTGAGATTTACCAGCTCGAAGTTGTGGTAGCTCAGAAGAGCCGAGAGGTACTTGTGTTCAGAGACAATTCTCAGCGGAGTGCGCAGCTTACCCACCGGGACAAGCAAATGCAGGACATCCTCAATGTATGTTCGAAAAGGTCCAAGGACTGATGCTGCACTGGTCCCTTGAGCTGAGTCTATGAATGAGGCCGGTTATGAGTGCCCATATAGTGCGGATAGGGAACACCCCTGCCTGACGCCAGAATTCATCACTACAGCGGAGGCAGCGGAGGCAGAAGAGCTCCCTCCAAAGCAAAAAATTGCCTGCCTATGGAGGTGCAGGATGAGGTCGATTTCACACGCTTCGAACGATGCTTCGCGCATCGGCTGCGCCAGGAATGAGTGTGGCGGCGAGTCGAACGCTTCATGAATATCAAGGCTCACTGAGATGCCTCCACAGAAGGAGGTGGAGGCCTGACCCTCGTACCTTTGAAGTAGGGAGGCAGAGGAGGATCGGATGAGATCCCTGGCCTGAGCCAGATGAGCACAGACAGCTTCCAGTGCATCACCTGTCGATCGCCCTGGCAGGTATGCCCATTGAGGCGTGCCTTGGAGGTAAGACTCGATTTTGGGAAGGACTCTGCGCGCAATCATGCTGGCCAACACTTTACCTGCCGGGCGAAGCAACGATATCGG